CATTATATACACACCGAACGCATAATTTATTACTACTATACTAATTTTTAGCACTAAATAGTGATAATTAAACAATAGAAAACGAAGGATTCTGTATCAAATAATACTAATTAGTAATATTTAATGTTCACGGTTTTAGTGCGTGCACTCTAATAGTTTTTGAATGGAGTTTTCCTAGCTAGCATCGAACCGCCATGTCAGTCATAGCCGTTTCAATTCACCTTTTCGGCGCAAGCGCAAAGCCGTCACGTGGTCAGTAAATTGTTTTGTATTGTGTTACGGTCACCACAACGTTCGGGCATTGTTCTCGGATTTCTGTACAAATGTACTGGCTTTAAATGTACTATTAACTTGGTTTGTTTAGTTAGTTCTCTAAATACAAGTAAAAATTCATTTTTYTAGCTTGATTGAAGCTTTTCTAAGTCAGTGAATTCGTATGGGAATCCGAGAACGTCTGAACTTTTTGCCACCTCAAGTTGGTTGGGCCATATTGTCCTTAACTTTACCAATAGAAGGAAAAAAACGTTATCAACAGACCTTTGTTTAGCCTTATTTCASTGTCCAAATATTCACAAACAACAACAGCTAGCAATGTTTACAATTTCGACAATACAGTGCTTTTTCTGAATTCGATAATCAGGAACAGGAGATTAGTGATGGTTTTTCCTCAGGATGATGCATTCTGGTCTAACCTCGGCATAGATTACACCGTGCGAAGCAGGTTGAGCAAAAGTTGTTTTAGACTGCGAGCAGTCCTACTTTTCCTTCCAGACTCAGTAAAGACTATTGTCTTAAGATTCCTGTTGACGCGCGCGGAGATTGGMGCCGAGTAAGCAGTCTAAAGTTAAGTACCCAAGCTAAACCAGAATGCATCATGTTTGCTACGTGGAAAACTGTTAATAACTTTTGAGTGAACTAGCTAGTCGAACAACTACTTTTACTTAAAGACACACTGAAAGTTAAATTACTTTAATGTCATTACAAGAAGACAGTATTTTTCCATTGACTGAAGTTACAAGGTGCTACAATAATCAATCTCAATGTTGTTTTTTTGTAGGGGCAAACTACATATTTAAAAATAAAGATGAAAATGAAATCAGACCTTTCCCAAGACACAGTTAAGCGCCTAGTAATATTATTCAACTAGCAAGCAGCTTTTTCTTTAAATCTAAGCTTGTCTTATTGATTAATTATCCAATAAAATCACGTCATAACAAGTGTGTGATAGATAGTCCCTATAGGGGCTTTGCACCATCACGTGATGGCAGCCATGACAGGAAGCACAGCGATAGTCTTTTTTCCAATAGGAAATTGAATTCTTTCTCATGTRAATCAGATTTGATTGTTCCTGCCTCTTGTCATGGCTGCCATCACGTAATAGTGCAAAGCCTCTATACATATATCTCTGATAATATGTATCCAAACCAAGGCTTTAGCTAGTACATGTACATCCAGCCATATCTTGGGAAAGGGTCATTTGACAATTATTCCCTGAAGGCAAAACGAATATCGGGGAATATTTACCAAGCCTTGAGTCTTCAAGTGGCGAGGCAAATATCCCCTTTATTTGCTGAACCGGAGGTGAATAATTGTTTTAGTATAATTTTAGACTTGAATATCAGAAAAAAACGACGAAATTCAGGATCAAAATTTTTTTTAGTATTATTGCCGTTCTGGCAAACTTTGGGAAACCTTATAATCACTGCTCGAGCAGTGAATATTGTCTCATAATCACTGGTCACTCGACCAATCACAGCTCACAAATTCAAGTCTAAACAAAAGTGAATCGAATGCCACAGGGATGCGAAAAAAACTATGATATTTTTTTTATTTTTTTCTCATTCTCATCTTTATTTTACAATCATGTCGTTTTTTTGAGAGAGAAAAAAAAAAGAGAAATGCAGATTAATAATGCAGAGCAAACAATTTCCTACAAATAATTTTCTTTTCCTTTTTCCTTTTCTCGTTTTGAATTATATTTTTTCCACATAGTTTGCTGGAATCATGCCAAATTGTCCAGTTCTCTCTACTCTACCCTCCATCCATCCTTCGTCAATAATGTTTACATCTGTTATTGAGTCATTTTCAACAAAGCTTACTTCATCGTCATCAGCAGCAGTGTAATCATAGAGAGCCCTGTAACGTGGCTGCAATTAATAATAAGAATAAAAATATTATAATATCATAATATTAATTATCAGGCACTGAGAATGGAATTTAGGAATTTTCAATATTACGAGTACTTGGTAGCTGACAGTTGTACTCTAAAATTTGGCTTTTCACTGTAGTTAATCAAAAATATTCAGTTTGTACCTTTTACATTTTTGGCTGGCGGCAGGGAAAAAAAACACTAGCAGCTCTGAGCTACTATAGTATCTACTCTTAAGAAATATAATCTGAAAACCTATGGACTACGACTACATGCTTTCTCAACTTATGCTTTCCCAAACTTTGGAACGATTTRCCATATCATATACGAGCCAGCCAATCAATTGACACTTTTAAACAAAATCTAAAAACTCATTTATTCAAAAAATACTTTATTTAATATATCTCATACCTTTATATAATATTATAACTTTTACTAATTGATAGATGACTCTTATACATATTTATATTTATATTCATTATTGACTTTTTTATATCAATTTTATTGTAAATATACACAAATATTTAAAGATAACTTTAATATACTTGTAAAGCGCTTTTGGACTTTAGGAAAAGGCGTTATATTTATGAAATCATCATCATTAGTATATGTAATAGGACTCCATGCTGTCCAATTAAGAAATAATTGGACGAGGAAAATGCTGAGGACTGACAAAATTGGATGAGGCCATAGGCCTAGWCCAATTTGGCAATCAGAGGAATTTTTCGAGTCTAATTATTTCTTGATTGGGGAGCATGAAATCCCATTACCTATTAATTATATAGCTGCCTAATTAATCCCATATCAACAAGACCTGTCCAATTAAGAAAATAATTGGACAATTACCTATATGGGATTAATGAGAAGCTGTATAATTATAATTATTATTATTATTGGTGGTGTGGTTGTTGTTGTTATTATTATTATTATTATTATTATACATGCATAAAATGTGATATGTTGGTACCTTTGTGGCAGCGGCTGGAGGGCGCTGCTCATGATGCACAGGCTCTGGTTGTGGAGGTTGTCGCATTTGTGGCTGACTTCTGATTCTGTCTTCATAACCAGGTTGGTGGGGATTGGATCCCTCTACGCCTAGCCATCAATCAATCGATCAATCAATTAATCATTCTATCAGTCAATCAATCTATTAAACAATCAATGAATTATCAACCAGTCAGTCAGTCAATCAGTCAGACAATCAAATCAACCACCAATCAATAACTTAATTAACCTACTAGCCAATCAATCAATCCACCAGACAGCCTGCCAACAATCAATAACACAATTATTTACCAACCAATCAATCAGTCAGTCAGTCTACATACCAACGATTAATCAATCAACCAGAAAGCAAACAAGCAACAATAGTCCCTTTCACAGTTCCCTGCACCATCTTGAAATGTAGCCATACCTTTGCATCAAAGGGAGATGAACAGTGAGCTTGGAACAATAGAGACCTTCTTTAACACCTTGGACAATTGTTCACGTCTCCATTATTGCAAGCTCATCATTTGCCTCACATAGATGCTCATGGCCAAAGATGGTGCAGGGAACTGTGATGTAGACTATTGAACCAAGCATTACTGCCCTAGCAGAGGGGAGGGCTGGGAATTCAGGGGGGAAGGGGAGAGTGATCAGTAAAAATTTGAACTTTTGTGGAGGATCACACCTTTTTATTTTGACATAAGCTGTTTCCTTGTTCACTTACATGAGGGTCAGGGACCTGGGGGATGGGGGACTCTCTTGAAAAGTGGGTAGGGGGCTCGATGTACGGTTTTGAAAATGACACTAAAAGGTACGCCCACATTTAAAAGGACAACGTTTCCAACCATTATATTCTTGTATGACGTTTGATATTTTTCAAAACGAACAAATCTGACCCTAAAAGGTACGGAGTCAGCCGGGAGTCAGCCAGAGACCCTAAAAGGTCCGTCGAGCCCCCCTACCACTTTTCAAGAGAGTCCCCCCCCCCAACCCGGGGTCAGGGATTTCTTACTGAGTGAAAGAGGGAAGTAAACCACCATTTTWAAAAAATTTACTACCAATACCCCCAATAAAAACGAACTTAGTCCTCCCCTCAATAAAAACGAACCTTCCCTTAATGGTTATTTTGCATATTTAAATCAAAAGAAGCAACCATTAACCAAAAAATGTGTTGTACCATCATTCATCCTACTACATATGTGACCAAACTGGGTTTTCAAGCAAGAAAAAAAAACGTACACTGCTTAACTGACATTTATCAAACTTTTAGTCTGTATTCCCTTCTCCATGTGTCAGCATGCTTTTGATTAGTGGAAAAGAAATTTATGAAAAGATTCCGATACGTGAAGAAAGGAATGCACATGTTTGTGTGTGGAATTGTAGATGTTTGTAGGTGCAACAGTGTCATGTTTTACCAGAATTAAAACCCATTAGTAGTGTTTTATATACTCTGGGCCAACTGGCCTCAATTTTTTGCTTATCTTGTGCACCCACTCTGTCTTTGAGAGATACAGTGTATATAAAAAGCCCAGGGGGGGGGGGGGTACTCCCTTTGTTCAGGTGATAGGGGTGATCGGCGGTCGATTTTTAAAATAGCCCCTAAAAGGTATGCATAAATTAAAAAGGCTCTTAAAACCAACCTGATTTAATATTAACCCCAGCTATCAACGCCGCTTTAATGAATGACAAGACAGCGTGTAATAAGATTATAAAGATGATCATAATAAAGAAATACTTAGTGCATCATTGTGCGGCATAGCATGGATAACACACATAATAAATGACCCCAAAAGTTATGTTACGTAATTGACTTTTGAGCAGGAACCCCTAGAAGGTCCACACAGGGAACATTTTCAACCCTAAAAGGAGTGCCGATCACCCCTACCACCTGAACAAAGGGAGTAACCCCCTGGGATAAAAAGCCTGTACACTGGCTCGAGTATTACCTGCTTCAACTGCACCCCTGCCAGATGTTCCAAGTCTCATCTCTGCAGATGATCCTGCATATGCGATGCTACTGATGTTGTCTGTGTTTTTCTTGGCTCTCAGTGTTTCTGGGTCATCAGGAACTGCAGTGAAGTGGCCTTTCTCTTCCTCAAATTTCTTGTGATATTCAACCTTGAGGCAAAAGTATCCAAATATTATTAGTACAAATCTTGGGGTGATTACTGCCTAATATTAAAAATATCCGAGAGTTTAAAATAATAGCTGGTCAGTTGCATGGCATGATTGACAAAATTACTTTTAGCTATACATACCTCATTTCTGGATCAACATTACGGGTTAAAATGAGAGGCAAGGCAAAGTTCCAGTTTCGGCTAGACATTGTCTATGATGGCCAGACATCGGACAATGTCCATCCAGAATTGGAACTTGCCTGATCAAATTTTTCTTTACAGGCCATTTTGACCAGAAAAGTTAAAGTGTATATAAAGGAAAAAAATTTATTTCCAAAATCACTTATATGTGAACAGCGTAGTAGTAGAGTTGCAGTATTTTTGTCTGTGGTCTTCTCTTTTGAAAGATATAAATACTTGAAATATCAATGTGCAAATGAGATGACGTAAATAACTCCAGAATATGTTAAATTTTGCAATGTGATTTACGACTAGTGTTCTGAAGTGAAATAACCCAAAAGTGTACAAAGCCATATATTTCAGTTATAAGGATGATTTGCAAATGAAAAAACAGCAGTACTTTCCACAACAGCATTTTTGTATAATAAATTAGTCTTGAATTTACGTCATCTCATTTACATATTGATATTTCAAATGTTTATATCTCCAAAAAGAAAATAAAATAAAAAAAACTACTACACTATTCACAAATAAGTGATTTTAAAAATTTCCTTGATGTACACTTTAAGCCAGAAATGCGGTATGACCGAGCTAAAACTAATTTGGTTGATCATCATGACCGTGACTTACCGGCCGTTATTTTAAGCCGACCAACAACTGTATGTAACATTACAAAAAAGTGTCATCTTCTCTACTCACCTGGCTTTGTTGTTTTGTTTGTTTAGAAAGACGAAGGTTCTCTGGTGTATCAGCAACTGTAGTGTGCTTGGTYGTTGGGTAATGCCTTAAAAAAAAAAAGTTAAAAACCATTATCTTTCAGTAGTTATTATTATCTTATTGAGGTTGCTAAATGGATTGTTACAATCTGGAAGAAAGCAACAAAATTGGTTTAGAGTTCCCTTGTGTAATTTACAAACCAATTCAGAATGGGTGACAGTGAATTCAAAATTTCAGAGGAGGGGGGGGAAGGGGGGATTTGTCTTGGATTGGGAGGGGTAGATATGTTTTCCATAGCATGCTTTGTTACTACCATTCAGAAATATAACTGAACATACCGTCCCCCAACAGCAGATTTCGTGGCACCCCTTTTAAATACAGTCAATTCAAAAATTGTTGTCTTCGACTAACTCAAGCCTACGCGACTGGACTGAAAGGAACTCTGGGTAGCAATCATTGAAGCCAAGTTGGCTCCATTATTTTATCTGACTAGTTATGCCTGGTTTACAGCAYGAACCTTCGTAGGCGAGCGGGAAGTGTTGAAGGAGACGTTCATTAATGCCTTCATATTTTCGGAATTGTGAACTGAATCATAACTACTTTGTTTTTCTTTCCCTAAACCCAAAGACATGCATTTGAAGGATTGTTTCTTGCCATTATTATATTATTACTAGTGGGAACAATTAATTCAGAGCGAATATTTAACCTCTTCAGTGATTTCTACCCACATTCCTTTTGGTCCAGTTGCGTACRCTTGAGCCGGTCGACGACAATGTTTTTTGAATTGACTGTATGGTGTCCAGGACCTAAGTTAACTCTGAGCCAAATTTGATGCTTTCTTCTAGTCTAACAATTCACCTTTTGGCATGTCTTTTCTAATAAAGGCAGTTGGAAAGCAGGTTAGCATTTGTATAGTTAATAAGATCTGACATTCAAAGCTGTTTAACATTTGACAAATTAAATTACAAACAATTTCAAACACAGGGTAAATAGAGGGAGTCAGGTGTGGATTCATAACCACTAAAAACAGTAAATAAAGCTTAAAAAATGTAAATTACACCATTGGTAAAATACTATAATTACTGATTAAGAGACATGTGGTCCTAAATCAACCTTGTTAGTATCAACAGTGATGCAACAACATATTGTTATTTTAGCTTTAAAAATAAAATAAATTGCAAACTTCATTTGTTTTAGAAGTAAAATGGGGTTTTAACTGACCTAATATCTCTTTGTGAGGAAATTTTCGGCTGATGTTATTTGTGTTTCTTACTATCTGAGAAAATCGCATAACATAATTCTAACTTGTAGATATTTCAAATGTAACTTAAATAAATATAAATATAATAGTTCCTGAGCATTATTAGAACTCAATGCTCTTACATAAGTGCCCTAAAGTGAAAAGCAATAAATAAAAAATTTACAATATCATTGAGATAGATACCAATGAGATAGATAGATACCAAGAAAAAATCAGGATGCAAACAAATAAAAGGGGAAAAAAATCAGGATGCGAACAAATAAGTTTTAAGCTCTGATTTAAATGAGAATATCGTACTAGCAGTCCTAACGTTGTATGGTAGCGAGTTCCATAACCTAGCAGCAGCTAGGGAAAAAGATCGGTCTTCATATGTCTTAGAACTAGATTTAGGAACTCTAATAAATTAGAGTTAGATGATCTTAGATTTCTTGCTGGTCCATATTTAACTACTAAATCAGAAATGTAACTATAGGAGCCTGTCAACAAAATATGAACAAAATATCAACAAAATAACTTGACACCAATACTTTGTCGTTTCATGCAGATAGATTATGTAAATATGCWATGCTAATTGTCATTTGAGACCCAACTTTAGAATCATTTTTTATATGTGTTAAAATGAATCAATCAAAATGAATTTTTGAGATATGATAGTTTGCTACTGCTACGCCAAAAATRTATTTTGAGGTTTATAAAAAAAATCCATCTTTTTGGGGAGATTTTTAGAAAAGTGGTAAAATATGAGTTTCTGTCTATAAGTTATCATAAGTGGTAATGGCTTCAGCGAAAAAAACCTTCTGAATAAAGACTTTGTAAGGAAAAACTGTTTTTCCAAACTTAGAAGAATAGTGAAATTATTAGAAGATTTTGGCTTTATTTAAAAGTAGTTTTATTTAGCCGCTCTTAGTCAAAGTGAGTGATTCGTTTCAAAATGCAAAATCGAAAGTCGAATTATTTTCGTGTTTTAGTCAAAATTGAAAAAACAATATTCGTTGATTCCATCACATTTCGTTTGCCCAATGTCATAGTTAATCTTGTTGTTATCTGCTTCTCTAGATCTCACCAGATTTGCGTACAATTCTAGTTCAACTGATTTCAATGTTTCTTGTTTATCGTTGCCATAGAAACATGAATTCTGCTGAAATGTACACAATCATTAACTTCCATCCAAGACTACTGTCTAGTGTGAATTTCAAATCAATCCAACTTCAAATATTTTGTTAAAAAGCCAATCAAAAACGTTTGGTATGGCTATATAAACAGGATAGAAACACCTTCAGCAGCCTTATTCAAAATGTTCATTATCGTACTATCTACAGTAATGGGTTTACCACTCCTGGGTGGACGTTATAGTGCCTAAAAGTTTTGCCAACCCAATTGATAAGGCAGCTGATAGATCGAATTCGAATTTAGAAGTTGATTTTTGTAGAGCACAGAAAAACAGAGAACCCAGAGGGAAAACCAAGGGCTCGAAATAGCGGCCGGCCAAAAATAAGGATGCAATGCCAAATGAATAATAAAATGACATGCAAAATTTACTGGAATGACCTCCTTTTACCATGCTTCTTTACTATGGCAGACTAAAAACGTTTTCTATTTGAGTAATCCACAACTGGCAGAACCTAGCCTTGGAGTGGATGAACAAACAATGAATGGTGAGATAAAACAAAGAATGCAGCTCACATGTAGAACAATACACATTGTTCACCATAATCAATGCTTTTTTTTGTTTTTGTTATTTTGTCCAATCCCAAGCTTTGTTCTACCAGTGGACTTGAAAATAAGAGGAAAGACAAAATTCAGAATAAAAATCACCATTCAAGCAGTGATTATCATCWCACCATCACTGGTTGTAATAAAGGGGCACTTGGATGAAAACGCCCCAATTTTTGAAAGTCCGAATAATTGAAGTATTTGAGGAGAATATGACTCAATTATGATTATAAAAATCAGATTAGTCAAAAAGAAAAAATCAGAAAATTTTAGCCTGGGAGCCACTTGCTYTTGAGATATTTTGGGTTAAAAGAGAAAAGAACAATAGAGTTGAGTAAATGACGTCATTTACTCACAATTTAGATGCTGAATAAAATTGATAATTTTTTTCCCACCACTTTTGACTGTGAAGGAAACATGTTGCTCGGCTACTATCTGGATAAGTTTAACCAAGTTTAAAGTCATTTCTAATTTTCATTGATTTTCATCCAAGTGCCCCTTTGAGCCAAAGTGTAAAGTGTGCAGCAACCAGTACTTGTACATAAGACTATGTAACAAGACTATTACATAATCTACCAAGACTTGCCTTACATGTATGTAATAAGACAATTAATAATCTACAAATTTGATATATCACACTAGTAACAGCTGTAACAAGAAAAGATGGTGTTAGGCTGTCTCTTGCTGACACGTGGTACAAGAAAAGAAAAGTTATTCAAAGGTTTGGATAACTTCCTAAAAGAAGCTGATTCACTCATCAATCAATTATCGCTTAAACAAATCCCAAATAAGACTCTCATCAATTTTCCATGTCTTCTCTCACAAACAGACTACTAAAGAATTGAGTCATCCAAAGGCAAGGAATACTATAAGGGGTCAGAAAAATATATGAAGTCTAAATCTGTAATCTAAAACGAGTTCAATATAAGAGGATCAGGTATCTTCGTGGAGAATCGCACGATTAGGGCATGGATCTTTAGCATTCTGTTTGTTTACCACTCCTCAACGCGTCCTTCTTACAATACGTTTATAAACACGAGCTTTAAAATATAATCCCAAAACAGATATTCAGCGTTGCTTGAATATCTCGACATTATTTGGGCGGAGTTCGGGGGAATTATTCTAGGAACTGATGAACAGTCTAAAGGAATGTTTGAAGATTTCAAAACATCTGATAGTTTGATGGCGAAGTAACGTAACACAAGGCGGTTGTGGAAGTCGTGGATGTGATCCTTGCTAAATATAGTGTGCATAGTTTTTGATAGTACGGTAATTTAAGGTTAATTCAGTTTATTTCCTTTGMAATATGTAAAGATTTGAACATTGTTGACAAGTCAATGTAATTATTTGCTTAAATCGCGTTTCAGCTATTAAAAAGGCTGCTTCAAAGAATACACAAATAAAGCTTGTGCAGAACTACACCGCCCAACTACAAAAATCCCTCCTTACGAGTGAAGATCAATAAAGCTAAGGATCTTTGATTTAATACTTGAGGAGTTTTTGGTAATACAGTCCACGAAATTCTTGAAAARCTCCATGACAAAAGGCATTCCAGGACTTAATTGTATTACAATTGATGTAGTTTTCGACAACAATCATAGGTGCTGCAACTTACTTTGTTAAGCAAAATCATATTCAATCGGTTCGTACATATTATAATATTGGCATTAAAAGCCAAGGAAGAGCTATTCCCCGATGCTGTCACACATGAATAGTACAGTTTTAATTGAGTCTAGAGGTTATAAACCAACTTACGCTGCACAATACGGCATCTTGTTATATCCTTTGTAGTTTTTCATGTTGAGAGTCATATTGCAGACCGTACACTTAAAACACGTTTTATGCCAGAACTGCAAGAGTAATAAAACATAAAAGAGAATCAATAGACATGTTGGAAGTCCATGGTATATTATGTTTGGGACTTAAGGCCCTCAAGAGGACGGTATTCTCGATCAGTACCTTGTCAAGACAGTTCAATTTTTCCATCGGGTAGACAGCTTTGCTGCACTTGCTGCACTGAGGATTCATCTTTGATCCCTTCGATTTGATACAAAGATTGGGCTTGGACTACTCACTGATGCCGTGGAATATAAAGGAGTGAATATAGTGGGAATAAACCGCCTAGAGAAAGACGAAGAGCTAAACAGTTCCCAACGATTGACGATTAATTTTAACGAACTTGACTGAACGTACAGCCTTGGTCAGCCAAGGGGAGAGGTTCTATCCCATGGACCATCACGGCACTGGCTCTAGTACACGTGGCTAATACTACTAAGGGAGGGGAGGGAAAGGTTAATTAGAAATTCTCGAGATTGTGGATAAAAAACGGGTATTTTTGTCTACATTTCAATATTGGAAAGTTTTTGTATTCCTTATTTATTATGTATGGTCTAGAGGATCAGTAACCCGTCAAAGGCGACTAGTTAATACTAGGGGAGGGGAGGCAGGGGAAGTAGGGCTTATTTTGTAGTCTCGATGTTGGGAATAAGAATATGGGTATTTTTCATATTTTTGAAAAATGGGGAAAAAAGTGAAGTTGAAGCTGAACAAAATTTGTTTTTAAAAAACAATAAAAGTGAAAACAAAAGCACAAAGGTAAAAGATGACCAACGGCTTCTTTATCAAATATTGATTCCTTTTTGTAGTATTCAGATCACGTGCCATTCCCTTGAGTCTTCTTTATTTTTCAATTGCCGCTTACGATCATCTAGCTTAATATGGAAAACGTTTGTGCAATCGCACCCACTAAAAGCTATATAGATATATGTTTGATTCGTGGTAATTCAAGTTACAGAGGCGCTCTCTTTCCATGCCAAATACTAAATATTGTCTGAGCGATTATAGGTACGTGAAGTATACGTATTTGACCTCTGTCTTGAACACAAGGCCATAGCCATATTAGGTTATGAACCTCAATTAACCGGCCGCGTGCGCAATTTCTTTTAATTGGAATTAATCGCGATATTGTAAATGAATTATAAAGATAAATTTTAAACGCCCCAGAGCCGTCACGGAGGCGTTCTTAGGTATGCGGGTGAGTGGACTGAAGGGGAGGGGAAGGAGTGTGGATTGAGGGGGGAAAGATTTGGGCGAAACGTTTTCCTAAAGGAAAAGAGACCCGATTTTATACTATGTACCGCAGCATGGTATCTTTAACTTCCGAACTTAATTTTCATACGATTTCTAAATATATGTTCGCCTCGAATAACCAATATTCCTTGTTTTACGTTACATCCAATAACTAATAATTTCTCAGGCTTAATATCGGCGAAGAATGAGATTTTACTGAATGGAATGCCTCGTGATCTGAATGAGAAAACATTACGTCTAATTAATGAAAAGTTCATTAAAAACTAGTCTGTTCTCAGTTTCTAGCAGAGCCAAAAAAAGAAGCTACCGGTTCTTTGGTAAGATGGGGTAGCAGTCCATTTCTTAATTCGCATGGCTTCCCTGAATAGCGTTTGAACGGTGATCCAGTTTTCTTCCCATTGTTGCTGTCATCTCTGACCAATTTTTTCCTCTCTTGACCTCCCCTAGTTCTTTTTCCACGAAATACGAACGTGTTGTATTAATGAACTGTTTGATTTATCATACATTGAGTTAGAGAATGAAAGAGGGAACAAGAAAAGAAAAAAGACAGAAAGGAAAAACAATGGAAACGAAAAAATTTGAATGGCAAGGATCGAGGGCCAAAAATGAATCAAATCTCCGAAGTTGTCCGAGAAGGGCTGGGTACTACCGAAAACACCCCGACCTTCGGCCGCCATATTGGATGCAAAGTCTCTCTCGACTTATCTTCTTTCAAATTGAGTTTTTACAGTTTTTACTCAACAAAATATCGACATCTTTGCATCAGACCTTTGGATAAGATGTCAGATCGAAAAGCTGAGCTCGAAAGGAAGAGGAAACGTCTGGAAGAGATACGTAGAGCTCGTGAAGAGAAGAAAAGGGTGAGTGTAAACATGGCTTCTGGGATAAAAATATTGAGTTATTTTACTGTTTGTATATTTGTACAAATTATTCTAAACTCACTATTTTGTACCTTATTCTTCGAAGATAAAAGTTTAGTGTTTGACCTTAGTATATTTGATAAATATTACGAGTGGGAAATCCAAAGTCATTTTATAAAGATTTTTAGCAAATAAGCTACGAAATTAGAATTTCTTAAAAAGATTCGTGCAAACTTAACCTTATTTTAAATTTTTCAACTTAAATTTATGATCTCCTTGTATTTTATTTAATAATTGTTTTCTGACAAATACATCTGCAGAAAATCAACAATTGCGATTAACATTAAGTCTCATAAGTTGAAATGTAAAATATTCAATTGAAATATTAATTCAATTATTCCAAAAAAAGGCAATCAAGAATCACCTTGAGTTTTCCTTGTATATGGCCCTGTAACAGAATTTTAGTATTAACTTGTAAAACCATGAAACCTGGTAGATGATGTTCTTATTAAAATTGAACATTTAAGGAGTAGATGTAATTGCAAAGGCAGCACTTAATAATAATAATAATAATAATAATAATGGTTTAATCAATAGAATCCACGAGGTGGCTCTTCACCTATTGATAAACTATATAATATACAATAACACACACACGAGATAAACTTACAATAAACTATGAAACTATAAATAGACAAAGATAAGAAATAAGATTGAAAATTATTGGAAATTTCTTATTGATTAATTCTAAAGCGATGCTATAATTATATGTGAAAGAAAAGGATAAAATGTCAGATATTGGGGGTACATGCTCCACCACCCTCAAGCAACCGCAGCAGGCCGAGACATCTGGGGCTTTCTGCTTACTGTAGTCACCTTACTATGGTTTTCAATATTCTGTAAACTCCGACATTTCAAAAGCTTGTTGTGAAATCGGTTTTTCAACACTGCCAGTCAAGAACATAAAAGGTACAGACTGGTTATTTTTAAATTGACAGCAATGAACAACAAAATTTCAGTGTGCAGCTTGTAATAACTACCAAGTTAGCAGAATATCGAAAACTACAGTGTAGGTCTAATCTTCAGTACAACCATTTGATGCTAATTAATAGACAGAGGCAATTGGGCAGGGATTTCCCAGTTAATGAGTGTGATGAAGTAAAAAAGTAAAGGTAAAGGTAATTTATTTTACTTCGGAGTAGTTGCCCAGTTCTCCCAAGTCAAGGACTCATGTTTAATGYGCTCAAAGGTGCGCCCTCTACCCTCTCTTGCTATCAGTGCTCCTTTTTACGGGTATTTAAAGCTAATTAAAGCTACACAGAACAGAGAGAAGTCGAATCAGACGTGGAGTTCCTGAGGATCGAACTATGGACTTCAAGCTCTGAAGGCCGCGCACTAACCAACTGAGCTATGCCTGTTTCTTAAAGAAAGTAGAATGTAGCAAAAAGTCAATAAATAAAATGCTTGCAATTCTTCTTGAAGTTTTGATGTTATAGCTTACATTACACTGAAAAACTCATGAAATGGCCATTGAAAAATCTTACATGAACCCTGAGTATTATTAAGGTGTGTTATTAAAAATCACATCTTGTATTTGTTGTCTAGAGTGAACAAGAGTCTGCAAAGTTAGCAGCGCAGGCTGCCGTATCCAGCGACAAGGAATCAGCCAATGAGAGAAAGCAGAGGGAGGCAGATGAACTTCTTAAAGGGATTCTACCTGATGATGTAATTGATGGTTCTGCAGGTAAAACTAAAAACCTTAAGTGCAATGTTTTTTTTWAAAAACAGTGTGGATGAAAATTAGACAGATTGGAAGGGGTTGTCCTATTGTTATTTTTAGTGTTGTTTAGCTTGGGCATAACGTTTTCCCATTTCAAAGCATGTGTCATCCCTTTAGTATAATTTTTTAGTTGAACAGCTGCGCATGAGAAGACACATAAATATAGATACAACTCAAACAAAGAATCTTATTCTCAAGAGAATGACAAATRKTCTGAAATTTTTTGGGAAAATATTAGGCCCGGATTCAATTAAATAATACACAACTAAAAATCTTTGAAAGAGTTGAAAGGTTTTAATGAGGATAGCTCAATAGCTTAATATCTTAATAGCTATAGAATTCTATACTGCTGCAATCTCTGACTATATGACTGCTGATATACTGTAGATCACTTCATTGACAAACGGTTGCAGTACTTAGTAAAATTATTGAAATCTTACCTATTGGACACCCACTAGATCATGGACACCCAACTTAACTACAGACACTTCCCATTAGTGTACATACTGATGTAGGTTAATTCCATTGTATCAAGCAAGCACGAATAATAAGGAATCAATTCATTATTTTTTCTTTTAGTAACTGTTGCACTACAGAAGCCTAAGCCGACTATCACAGATGTATCACCAGCCAAGGGGCCGCAGGCTACATATGTCTCGTAAGAGCTAATTTTGTTGTCAACGAATGATATTTTTTGTATCTTAAAGTGGTTATTTTCTCCTCAAATGTCGTTGCCTTAAGGGCAATTCTTGGGTGCTTGTGACATCATAATCGCAATCTTGGTTGATTTTGACAAAATATTTGATCTTGGCATCTTGTAATATCAACCAACATGGTTTTTTTTAATTCTCATGGAAAGAGGTGTGCACCATCAATAGGGTGTGTGTGTATGTCAAATCTCATTTATGTGGGCTACATAAGTGTCAGGGTTCGTGCTACTCCTTGAAATCCTTGAAAAGCCCTGGAATTCAAAACCCATTTTTGAGTGCACTTGAAAAGCCCTTGAAAATAGCAAAGTTGCTGGATACTCCTGGAATACTTCTTGAAATAGTAACATTTTTTCAATTGTAACGTTCTTATAGCTCCATTAACGTCAAGCATTGATAAGTCAATGTTACTGAGCTTGGAAACTTTTAAAGTCATTGTTAATATAAAGGGAATAAAATAATTTGTTTTTTGTCTCTATAAACTTTTAAGAAACAAATTCACAAATTAAATGGTCCTTGAAAATCATAATTTTGGACCTTGAAAAGTCCTTAAAAAGTCCTTGAATTTTGTGTCAGAGATGAAGCACAAACCCTGAAGTGTCTAGTGATAAGCTTTCAATTGGCAATTAAGGTTTTCCAGTCGTGTCTCCATGGTAACCAGTATGTTGCTTACTTATTCTTATGGTCTTGGCTATTTAGATTTGAATAAATAAATCAAATATTTATGAATTTGTGTTTAATCTCAAAAATGTTTATGATACAAACTAAATTTGACCATGAAATTAAGTATTTTAAAGAAAAAATTCTTTACCTTTTTGATACTGTATATCATGAGATTCTTATTTTCATTTCTCTGGAACTTCTGCTGAATTTTGTGGTCAAATATATTCATAGCAAGTCATGTCTTAGTTATCTATATATGTTATTATAAAATAAATCTAAATCTCACGTTCTGATTGGTTGGAAGCTTGTGCTTTATAACAGCACACAGCACTTTCAGTTTCCTCATTCATGTAATTCGTAATATTGTTATAAAAGAAGAAAAACACTTGCTTTCTGTGCTGTTTAGAGTTGGAGATTGGCAGAACACTTGAGAAGTGTCGATGAGCACTCCGCTACGCGTCATGCTTCTCCTAACGCTTCTCTACTCTTCTGCCAACCCCGGCCTGCTTTGTAACGGCACATGTGCATTTTTTTAATTTCTTCACATGTGCATGTTTTTTAAATCTTCTTAGCAATAAAACTATCATTGAAGTAAACATCTTTTTCCTCAGACCCAAGAAAGCACCAGTTCTTGTTATGTCCAAGACAGCGCAGACTAACATCCCCCCAAAGGTAGCAAAATTAACAGACCCTTTGAAAACATTTATTGGTCACCAACAATGCCAAAATATCCAGGAATCAAACCTGAGACCCCAGAGGTGAGAGGCAAGTGCACTGCCACACACCACCCTCAATTCCCTAACAAATTCCTCTGCACCACTGACTGTCACAAACAATCTTTCTTAAGGGAACTGCTTATTGTTTTAGGAACCAGTATTATACAACAAAGAGACACAGACTCCTGTCCTTGATCCAAAACAGGATGGTGAGTATCTTATCTTGTACTTGACTTGACTTGACTTGTGGCATATTATTTTCCGGGAAGTTTTTACATAGGGATAACCTCATAACTTCCTATTCAAGATGCTTATTATACTTGCTTGTGTTGTTCACGTGTAATATTTTGCGTGTAATATTTTGCTTGTGCTTGATTAATATTTTTTCAATATCCATGTAACTTATTTGCGTCTTGAATAAACCGTGTATGTACTACCAGAACAAAATGCTTCATGAATTTTCTCTTATATTCAAATCAAAATATTAGATGATGAAGATGAAGAGATGCAAAAACCCAAAAAACAAGAAGTCATTCCCACACCTGAACCTGAAGTCAAAGATGAACAGCATAAGGAAGAAGGTTAGTGGAAAAAAATTTACTTGAATTAACACTAACTGAAACCATTTAAGCCAATCGGTCAGAGAGCAAACTATGTATCATATTGACTTTAACCAATCACAATCTTGCATTCCCACAGTTGTTGATAGCATCTAAATTTTTCTCAGATATCTAGGCTTCGTTGCTTGCCCCTGATTGGTTCAAGTTTCCCTTCAGTTTTATTCCTTTGTTTTCACTCTACGTTGTGATTGGTTATCTTTCTTCAATTGGTCCGGGTTAGCCTGTCTGGACAGTGAACTGTAGGCAAACTGAAAAATAAATTTTAAAATAATGTTGAACTTGTACTTGTTGAAGCTTAAAAAGAACTCTTAAAAAAAAAACAAAAAAAAAACATGGAATCATGGAATCATCTGCAGAATTATATCCCTCCAGAATATCTTACTGGTTCTGTTGCCAGTAAACATGGAGAACTAGACTTTAAGATTATCTGATATCTTGTGGAAATTTAATGTAAACTGAGTATACCGTGTTGGTGCAGTATTGGTATCATAACTATTTACCATCATCATCATAATAATAATCATCCTCATCATGATCATCATGTAACTATCATCAGCATCTCCATCTTTATCATGTATTATCATCATCATCACCATCATCATCATCATAATAATAATCATCCTCACCATTATCGTCATGTAACTATCATCAACATCTCCATCTTCATCATGTATTATCAACATCATCATCATCGTTTTCATCTTCCTCATCATTTGCATCACCATCACCTTGTCATCACCATCACCTTGTCATCACCATCACCTTGTCATCACCATCACCATTTTGATCATCATTTGCGTCATCACCTTGCCATAACCATCATCATCATAATCATGTATTATTGACATTATCATGTATTAACATCATCATCATCATCATCATCATCATATATTTTCATCATCCCATCATAATAATCATCACCTTGTCATCACCATCACCATCATCATTTTGATCATCCTCATCATTTGCATCATCATCACCTCGTCATCATCATCATCATCACTATAGTGAAAGCTTCATAATATATTGCTATTTCTAACCCTCAGAGACAGTGATAGAACTGAGTGAAGAACAAAAGGAACACATCCTGAACTCTCAAGAATTTGGTCGATTCTTTGACAAGGCAACAAGACTGATGGAGAGAGCTCTCTGTGAAGATATTGACATATTTATGGACTACTCTGGTGGTGAAGCTGAGGATCAAGACAAGTAAATCGCCCACCCATAATATTTGTAAATTAAAGGAGGCAGCATGGTCAAGTGATCATAGCGTCGGTTTCGCAATCCGGTGGTGCTGGGTTCCCGCTGTGGCCACTAGCTGATACTGTATTTGTCCTGATTCCTGATCAGTTCAGATTCAGTTTCTAGACCATGTTTGTAAATAGCCAACTGGTTTGCCTCCTTGCCAGTTGGGATTCTTAAAACACTTTATGTTTATTTGATTATTTCTTCATTTAAGTTTATTAATTTGTGGACTACACTGTAAACTAGCAGTTTGCTAAGTGTACTTTCCATGTTAAATAAGGTTGTTTTTTTTAATTACATATCATTATTATGGAAAGCAGTTGATTTTCAGAAACAATCTATGGAAAAAGTCTCTATTACAGTAGCTTATAAAACTCAAATGCTCCTTGAAGCTTATATTTTGACATGACACATATATAAGAATTTTAATTATACAGCTTCTCATTAATCCCATATAGGTAACTGTCCAATTATTTTCTTAATAGGACAGGTCTTGTTGATATGGGATTAATTACGCAGCTATATAATTGATAGGTAATGGGATTCCATGCTCCCCAATCAAGAAAAAATTAGACTCGAAAAATTCCTCTGACTGCCAAATTGGACTCTGCCTATGGCCTCATCCAAATTTGGCAGTCCTCGGAATTTTCCTCGTCCAATTATTTCCTAATTGGACAGCATGGAGTCCTATTACATATGCTAATTTTTAAAAAATGTGTGCCTTTTGCAGGGGAGCACAGGCATCCTCCCAGCTAACATTGTCCAGGGATTTCTACGATGAAAGATGGTCAAAGCACAGGACAGTAACATGCTTGGACTGGTCAACACAGGTAGGTTCTTACGTTTCATTGTACTTCCTTTTTGAGTAGTTACAAGCCTGATCTACCATTGATCATCTAACTAGCCACATCAGCTATTCTAAGGTTGAGATAGTGACCAACCATTGATCATCTAATTAGCCACATCAGCTATTCTAAGGTTGAGAAGAAACCTGGGTGGAGTTGACATTACAGTGCATTGTGGGAATGTTTAAGGCAACAAAGTAGACACCATGTTGGAAATATGTCCCCTTAAACAGTCCCACAATGCACTGCATTGCGTACTCTACCCACCAACTGTGCAATCCGCCCACCAACTGTGCAATCCACCCACCAACTGTGCAATCCACCCACCAACTGTGCAATCCACCCACCAACTGTGCAATCCACCCACCAACTGTGCANTGCAATCCACCCACCAACTGTGCAATCCACCCACCAACTGTGCAATCCACCCACCAACTGTGCAATCCACCCACCAACTGTGCAATCCACCCACCGATTGACAATTGATTCTTTATGATTAATTCAAAAACTCATGAATAATTAATGTCCATTTGGTCCAATAAAGTGAAAGAAATCCATCATGGTCATGTTATTTTATACCTGATAATAGCTCAACATGGATATCTTTATATAAATATTTTAAAATCTTTATGATGGACCAAAACTGTACATTCAAGAGCATGTCATAAATAAGGACTCTAAAATAATGCTCATTAATTATTCATGAATTTTTGAAGCCGTTCAATAAACTCACACATTGTGTTTTATCAGGACTAAAACCAGTACTTGGCTAGGCCATAAAACACTCCTGCTCATTTATTAAACTTTACTTAAACACTGTATATTTTGTCCTCTAGTATCCAGAACTCCTTGTAGCTTCGTACAACAACAATGAAGATRCACCCCATGAACCTGATGGGGTGGCTTTGATCTGGAACTTAAAATTTTCAAAAACAACACCTGAGTATGTCTTCCACTGTCAGGTATACATGCCCTTGCTCTTATGTTGTGATGATATTACATGTAGAAAAACATTTTAGAACTTATTTACTTCATACAAACACCTTTCTATTAGAATATGAATCACATATTTCTATTAAGTTGTGCGTTTGTTACTGAGTTGTGAATACCAAGCTATGTGGAGGTGGACGGCATTAATGTATGACTTACTCTTCTATCGATAATAAAGTTATTTAAAAAAAGATGTTTTTCAGTGCTGATGATAAGACTGAGGAAGAAATAGGCTAGAATCTAGAATCAAATCTAGAATCAATTGTGATGTTTTTTCTTATGTTTTTTTTCTCAGTCTGCAGTAATGTCGGCTACATTTGCAAAGTTCCACCCAAACCTGATCATCGGTGGTACATACTCTGGTCAGATAGTCCTATGGGATAATAGAAGCAGTAAAAGAACACCAGTACAAAGAACACCTTTATCTGCCACGGCACACACTGTAAGTATTGTTAAAAGTGTCTGTTAAAAAAAGTGCTGCCCCCGATTAAGGTGGAACCAAACTAATTCAGGTACACCTCACTTTAAAAAAAGTTTTCTCCAAAATTTGGATAGAACGAGATGTAGAAATTTCACTACCATCTAGGTAAAGCTCTGGTCTATCGATGTAGGAAGTTTGAAGAAAAAACTTGGAGCCATTTTGAAGAAAACAGCAAAGATATGATTTTTAACAAAACTCTCATATTTGAGTTTTACAATGACAATAATTAGTAAAAAAGCATTTATTCAACGAGTTTTTAAGATTTGATGCTGATTTTTCGTAAGGCTCATCCGCAATACTTAGAAATAGATATGTGATACAATACAATAGCTGACATTGTCTGTGTTTGATTGCTGTAACCAAAGCAGTTAATTGACAAATGTTCCACTGCTTAAAGGGTCCACCTGTTGGGTCATACTTTTAAGAAAATATTTTGATGCTTGTTGCCAAGAATTAAACTTGCATATCTTTTAGTCAAATCCAGTGGTCTGTCATCAATGCTGCATTCTGATTGGATGAGCAATTACTAGGTTATAAGCAATATCCTATTGGTAGAGAAAAGGGCCGGCTTTGCAAACCAAAACATGAGATTTAACTTAAATTCAAAACTTGTTTGCATCTATAAATTTGACCATTAATTCATTGGAATTTACTAAAACAATTAGTCCTCTCGCCCTTGCAGCCTCTGAGTCCATGTAGGTCATTGATAAATCATGTATTTCTTTTTTGTAGCATCCAGTGTACTGTGTTAATGTTGTGGGCACACAGAATGCACATAACCTCATCAGTATATCAACAGACGGCAAGATGTGCTCGTGGAGTCTAGACATGCTGTCACAGCCTCAGGTACATGTCAATTGGTTTCTATTTGGCAAGCATTGATTTCTTATTTGGAAGTAGGACAATATCTGGTTAAGTCGTCTGGTTTTCCTCACTGCAAAATGCAACATGCTAGCTAAATTTTCAATTATTGATGTTGCTACTGCATAGCATCCTAAAAAATGTGTGTGTGTTTGGTGGAGGGGGCAAGGGCGGGGGCAGAGGGGGAGGGGGTGGAGGCTATACCCACCTTACTCTCCATGCTCCCTGTTAGAGAATAGCACTCTTCTAGTTTTTGCTTACAAATTGTATAATTATGTTGTCTCTCTCTTATACCATTCATCTTATCAACAATAAAGGTAGTCATCATTCAAATTATTTTTYCCCTCGTTTTTATTGGTCAAGATAGCTGCAAATTACAAAGCAAAGTCATTTTTCTGAAAATTTATAATATTCTACTCATGCGCAGTAACGTTGCATTTGTCAACATGGCTTGCTTCCCTGTGACTTGGTGTGTTTTATAAATAGCAAAAACGACCAAAGCACAAAATGAAAATGACAAAAATAATTTAAATGATAAAATAATTATTGGACTTGGTTATCACAAAATATCGTGATTTGTTTTTGTGTCTTGCGAGCAATCGTTTGCCGATGTTGAATTGTTTGCTTGGATTTAATTACTAATTGCAGATGATATATTGTGGTTTGTAGGATAACATGGAATTACAGTACAAGCAATCCAAGGCAGTAGCAGTCACATGCATGTCATTCATGGCAGGTGACGTAAACAACTTTGTCGTGGGGAGTGAAGAAGGGACTGTGTATACTGCGTGTCGGCATGGAAGGTAAAAAATAGAAATAGAAAAAATAGAAATAAAACAATAGAAATAAAAAGATACAAATAAAAAAGTAGAAAATGTATATTATCCTCATATACCTGACTGTCAACAGCGTGTTGACCATTTCTTGGTGGTTAGTTGTTCATTTTTGGCTAGAATAATTGTCACATGACAGGCGGCAACAAATGGTCAACAGGCGGCTGACATTTTTWAAATAATAATGATAATAGTGCACTTCTATAGCATGCATGCCAACTACTCATGGCGCTAAGTTACGAAACAAAAAAAAAAGTCAACTACAGTGTACAACATTTTTGCGAGCTATGTACGACTAACAATTACGCACAAACACAAGAATTTGATTAGAAATGATTTTTTGAGTCTTGCCATGGGCCAATGCACAGCCAATGATTGGCCTGCAGTCAGACAAGTGTCAGTGAAGTGACAGGAAAGTGTAAGGCATGTCAATTATTGGATTCTATTGTGTTTCCTCTTACGAGACGTAACGGTGATCTTGTTGATATTTGTTGTACAGTAAAGCGGGCATTAGTGATGTATTTGAAGGTCATTATGGACCAGTCACTGGAATTGACACCCACTCAGCATCAGGACAGGTAAATGAGAGTTTGTTAGGATGGTTTACAATCTTTTCTTGGTGACTTCTCAATGATAGGATAAGGGAAAGACCATTAGATTTTTGAGGGGGGGGGGGGGGGGGGGTTGGGCAAAAACAGGAATTTTTTTTACGCGCCATGAGGCGTAAAAAAAAGATTCCTGCACAAAATAAATTGCCCAAACCTCCCTTTTTGGTTTTTTCCCCCCCCCCCCCCCCCAACCACTCAAAAATCTTATGGTACGTCCCTAAACATTTAGTTGTTATGTGGGCGTCAAAGGTGGTTCAGTAGTAGTACACTCGCCTCTCACCACTGGCGTCTGTGTACCTGTGGTTGTGACAGCATGTCTAGACTCCTTGATTCCTAGACTCAGAAACATGTGAGTAGAGTTTGTTAGGTCTCTTCCTTGATTCAAGGGTTTTCTCTCGCTTCTCTGGTTTTCCAAAATTCCAATTTGATCTGTGAGTCAGCCTTGCCCTTAACCAGCCCAGAGATTATTTTAGGTAGTTGCGAGCTGCACGCTGAAATTAGGTTTTTGCTGTCTTCAATTAAAAATTATCACTCAGTACTATTTACGTTCTTGACTGGTAGCAGTAAAGACCAATTTCACAACAAGCCATAAACCGTTTTCTCAAGGTTGCATGCGCATCCAACTTGATGGGCGACAAAACTGAAAAACGCAAATTCAGTAAAATTGAGAAGACAGTTTATATATAAAGAGGAGAATAATCGATTTTATGAATTCTTAGCGAAAAAAATGTCATAGTAATGCATGATAATACTCGTGTTCTGTTATTGTTGCCCGTCAAGTTCCTTAAATTTGGATCTGCACGCAACCTTGAGAAAGTGGTCTATTGGAATGTCTGAGTTCGCAGTAAATAAAAAGGCGCTGTAAACACTATAAAGTTGTAAAGATTTTTTATGCCATTTCATTCATATTGATTTATAAAAAAGTTTTTTGGGTTCATACTAAAGCTACTGATTTCTTCTTGTTTCACAGATTGACTTTTCTTATCTTTTCCTCACATCATCATTTGACTGGACACTGAAACTCTGGAGCCACAAGGTAATACTTATCCCATGGAACAAATACATGAAGCATTTGTAGTATCTTATGTTCTTATCTCATTGGAATTTCAGAGCCATCGCCCTGTGTACTCATTCGAAGATAATGGTGACTACATCTACGATGTTCAATGGTCTCCAATCCACCCTGCACTTTTTGCTACTGCTGATGGCAGTGGGAGACTGGACCTGTGGAACTTGAATAATGATACTGAGGTTTGTTGGAGTTTAAAAATTATCAGGAAAAATTGTGGTGTGGTAAATGACTGATGATGATGGTATTGATGACTGGTGATGACGATGTTGGTAATAACGGTAACAAG